ACTTGAAGTTGTCTCCGGATTCTGATTTGGACACAGTTTATGATGGTTAGACGAATAAACCCAGTTGAGATAAAGAGAATACACCAGGGCTCTAGTACTGTCTAGCTCAGTAACCTCGATCTCGCGCCACCGGGGTTAGTTAGATTGGTGCTTTGATCGCGACCCACCGGTTCATCTCAGCCGCGCTTTAGCTTCAGCTTCAGACAAGCTTGAGAGATCGGAGATATTTCCATGAAACTCTAACCATTACCTCCTATAAATCATTTCTCAATGGCATTGTAAGCTGTAGAAACCCATTCAGAGTCAATTCTAGGTAGAGGCTTGAGCCAACCCCTGATCCCACTCGTCAGATTCCTTCTGATCGCCTGGAATGATCAACGGTCTTAGCGTGGAATGAGCTCCATGTTTGTGTTTTCCCCTCGACCGTAACCTCTGTCTCTACCTCCGATCTTTTCTCTTTCTTCTCTTCCCCACGACTTGGAAAAAAAAAGCAATTTGACAAGGCTGGTGGACCTTGGGGAAGTTTGAAAAGTTCTGGACCTTTGCCAGCCACCTTCAACCTTCAACCTTACTTCCTCCCCGCCTCCTTTCAACTTTTTCCCCCTCCACAATCCACTTCCCCCTCCGCCAACCTCTTCGCCCGATACGAATGCAAATGCGCTTGCGAATGGACTTCTAACTTTGCGCGCTCAGGGGACTCCAAACTATCGCTATAGTCCCCCCCTCTCATCCCCCGAGGCTATGGCCACCACCGCCCCGCTCAGCGCCAAAAGCAAACTCGCTGGCAGCTCCCTGAAGATTACCCCCTCCAACTCCCCCGTCTTGCGGCCAGGCACTCGCTCTGCTAGCAGGGCCTCGCACCAGTCGGCCCTCTCGCTGCAGACCGTCATCGGAACCACCACTACAACCCCCAATGGCTTCTCCAGTCATGATCAAAGCAAGAGTTTTGCTTTGTGCGCCGGCTCCGCGGCCGTCCTCGCCGAGCTCGATGACGAAGGCAACCTGAGCCAGCGATTCTTCCGAGCTCGACCCTCGGCCACCAGCGTGAATCCGACCTCCTCATTCTACAATCAGTCCACTCCCCCAGCTACTCCAGACCCGAAATCGCGTTCCCTATCACACATCCGCTCCAACCCACATCTCAACGTCCCCAATGGTTCACCGTCTAGCGAAGCCGGCGATTGTGGCAGCCCGCGCGCCTGGTCGTCAAGAGAAAGAGTGAAAGCAGTCACCAGCGTTTCAATCAGCCCGAACGGGAGATTCCTGGCGGTAGGAGAGGTGAGCAAGCGGCAGTGATCAACTCCGAGAGGACGCTCAAATACTAACTGCAACTAGACCGGTTACAACCCCCAAGTCTTAATCTTTTCGACCGCTCGCGATGCTCTACCCGATGTTCCTCTGTCCATTCTCTCCGACCACACCTTCGGCATACAAAGTCTCGCATTTAGTCCCGACTCGCAGTATCTGGCCACACTGGGAAACGTGAACGATGGTTTCCTATTCATCTGGTCAATCAATTTTAAGAACGGCTCGGCCAAGCTACATTCCGTGAACAAATGCACATCTTTTGTCCGTGATATGTGCTGGGTCGGCCAATCCTTGGTAACGTATGTTTTCCGCGAAGAGGATTTCGCATATGGGATTTTGAGCTGACATTCTCCTAGTACCGGAGTGCGCCATGTTAAAGTTTGGAGACTTCCTCCATCCCGACCAGTTTCGCCTACAAAGACACGCTTGAATATCGATGGCGCGGCTCCATCTCCGAACCCGGCACCAAAGGCCCTTTCTGGCAGGAATTGCATATTGGGTCAATTGAGCGACAGCACGTTCAGTTGCGCCAGAAGTATCTCTGACTATGAGGGCGTGGTTGGCTCGGAATCCGGTGCTGTATGCTACCTCGACGACCGTGAAGGATCTCAGAAACTACAGTTCGTCACGCAGGTTGGATTTTCTATAACGTCCTTGACTGTTGACTTCGATCGTGAGTCGATATGGCTGGGAGGTCGTGGAAGGAAAATGCAGCGACTGTCATTCGATACTCTGCGGTCCTCAACTTCCTCTATCCCCATGTCGCCAGCGCGACGCGAGAAGATCGTGGTGGACAAGAAGAACAAAATACCGGCAATTACATGCATGGGTTCCCTCTCCTCACATTTGGTCACTGTGGAGGCTAGTCGCGAAATTCACATCTACCCAATCGAGGGCTTGCACGACGAAGACGAACAAGAGCACGGTGACACCTCGATGCCAGCTCACCGAGACCCGGTTCTCGGTATTCGTCGTCTCAATGCACCCAATTTCCCGGCCAGCTTCTTCACTTGGTCCCGCAACGGCTCGGTTATTTTCTGGGATTCTTTAGGCAGATGCTTGGATTTCAAAACAGTTGTCCTCGAGCAGAATTGCGAAGCGGAAGACGTGGCGAATGAACTCAAGGTGTTAAGAGCACCTTTAGAAGCTGGGTTCTTCGTTTCTGGTGATAAATATGGAGTTCTTAGGTTTGTTTTACCAGACCCTCTTCAGTCGACTCATTTACTTATTGTTATTGCAGAGTTTATTCCCGTGAGCCATGGGAGTGCGTTAATGATGTCCGTGCCCACGGAGCAGAGATCACGGACATTGCTGTCCATTCGACGGACGAATTGTGTTTGATCGCAAGTGCTGGCCGAGACCGGATGGTGCAGCTCTTCCAAAGATCCGAGTCGAGTGTGGATTTAATCCAAACCATGGACGATCATGTTGGGGCTGTTAATCAGCTCATGTTCATGAATGATGGCGAAAGACTGCTCTCGAGTTCTGCAGACCGCACCATTCTTGTACGAGATCGTGCTACCCGTGATGAAGACGGTGCCACATCTGTTGCGTATCTCATCACGAGAGTCATCACTCTGAAAGCGTCTCCAATTTCCATGACATTCTGCCCCGATGACCCGAACATGCTTTATGTATCCACGATGGATCGTTGCGTCTCAAAATTCGATATTCCTTCAGGACGGCAAATCCATTGCTTCAAAGCATCCGATTCGGAGGCCACCGACGCTGTGATAATGAGCGCTTTGACAGTGACATCGGAAATCCCAGGACAATGCCCGAAACTCTTGCTTGGAGTCTCCGGTACTGACAAGTCTATCCGGGTATACGACCTAGAACGAGATCAGTTACTCACTGGGGAATTTGGTCACACGGAGGGTGTTAGCGACGCGATGCTCTTGGAGGAACCTGACCCCAATGATAGATCGATCATCAAGCGAAACCTGGTCTCAGCTGGTATCGATGGTATATTGATGATCTGGAACCTATCTGTCCAGCCACAGCTACCCCCAGAGGGCCGTGACGAGGATGGCCCTACGAAGGAGGCGACAGCAGCCAAGCCACCACTTCGGAAGGTCCTCTCACGCAGCGAGCTAGCTGGCTTCCAACGGCCCGACAACCCAAGTCCCCTGGGAACTCCTACTCCAACACGCGAGCTATCTCCCACTTTGACTCGCAAGATGTCGAAACTATCTCTCACACCTTCCAATTTGAAGAACCACTCGCTCGCCGAAACCCCATCTCCCCCTAATCGTCGCTCGCCAACCGTTTTCACACTAACCGGATCAAGCCGCCGATCACCGTCCCCCGTTAGCCCAAAGTCTAGACCATCAATCCCAAAGAGGTCTCACGGTACACGGAACTCCAGCCGACGAATCTCATCTGACTTCCGATCCCGCACCAAAACATCCCACCGCAGCGAATTCGGCAGCCTGGAAATGTCAACCGAGCAAGTATGTCGGACGCTACGGGCCTACCGAAAGAAGCTCAACGGCTCGGGTCAACAAATCCTCGCGCAGAAGGAGCTGGAGCGGGAACTGACCTTGACGCTTCGCGCTGTCAATGCGCGGTCCATGAATAGTGATGAGAGCGCGGAGACGGAGACAGATAGTAGTGGCAAGGATATTGACCGCAAACCTAGCTATTCATCTATCTCTTCGCGCTCACCACATTATCCACGACATGCTCCATCAACTCCTCTTCTGCGCCAGAAAAACCCGCGGCAGGTTTCGAGGAGTCGCTCATGTGATGAAAATGGAGATGAATGATTTATGGATGCACTATTTTCCTATCTCATTTTGTTTTTCATCCCAAGGAGACCTGCATCACTTCAAAGATTTCTACATTTGACTTTTCTTTGCTTTTATATTCGCTTCTATTTGAAGCATTGCATTGCGGGAGTTGCGTTTTTTCCTTATTTGTTCTCCGTCATCCACTTGGGCTCTGATATGCCCGGTGACAGGACGTCCACCTTCTTCCCTCGTTGGATCTTCTCATTTCCCCGGACTTTCATGGTGATTCTACCATAACTTTCTTTTCCTTTTCCTTTTCTTTTTTCTCTTCTTCTCCCTTTTTCTTCTCATTTCTTGATTCTTTTCACTACATTGTGTTTTCTTTCTTTCCACCTCCATCCACCATGCGGATCGCGGGTGGCATCCTTCTGTTCTTTGACACCTTATTCTTCCTCTTCTGATGATACCCAATTTACTTTGAGTCAGCTTAGATCATGTCTCTCAGTCTATATTTTATCCTTAATCTATCATTATTTTACCATCCGAATTCCCTTCATAGAAAAAGTACTAGCATAGTTTTATTTGTGTAAATGTACTGGTCATCGTCACCATTCCTGGCTAAGCATTGTTAGAAGACGCATTCGCCCCGCAGGATGTTTTTTTTCTCTTGCTTGGGGCAGAAAGCGGCCTACACTCGTCCATCTTGTTCATTAAGAGAATTGCCTGGGGAACACGTTCTTGAGTGCTTTGAGGCTAGGTGTGAATCATCGTGAGTCTCCGCGGGAGGTCTACCTCTTAACAGCTCGCTATTACTAATTTATCTGCTCAGTTGAATAATTTTGTTCGTTGATAAACTATTCATATTGTACGTGTGAGCACCCATGCGAAAACAGAAAAAAATGTAGTCAACCCGGTCAACAACAGGAAACGAACAACAAACAACCCCCCCCCGAGACCCTTTCAAGATAAACACGTCTTGAGCCGACCACGGAAATCCTCTGCAAGACTTGCACCTTTTTGATCTCCCATCCCTTCGGCCAGTCTAATCGACTTCGAAGCCCACCGCTTGCAATCCTCATCCTTTCCCTCAGCGAAGTAATCAAGGGCTTGGTTGAAAGCCCGCACAGCGAGGTATTCGAGTTCGTCATCCGGGTACGTGTGCTGCTCGCAAGGAGTTGATTTGACATCTCCGGTCTCCGAATCCGTCACGAGGTGAGATGCCTGATGCGTGTGGCCTTTGAGATATTCCTCGTCCTCCATAAGGCAAAGTACTTGGTTCAGAACACATTCTGCAAGATGGAGACAGTCTTTATCTAACATTGGATATTCACCATCCATGTCAAATTCTTCTGGATCGAATACCTGATCATCTGCTTCATCAGAAAAGCAAAGATCATAATAGATCCGTAGCCAGCGTGGGAGATATTTTCTCAAGCTTGGACAGCTGCTATCAGATTCGTAGTAGAATTCGATGAGGGCCTTAGTTAGTATATCAAATTAGTAATCTCGAAGATAGCCCACAAATAGCGTGAAATTAACGCCCATCAGTGAAACAATGGACTCACCAGGACTATTTCTAGTCTTCTCTGCTTCGGGATAGATTGCTCATCGAGAAGGATGAGACTAAGGATACCCTTGCGAAGAAGGCACCCAACATCCCGTGAATCTTTCGGGATGAAATCACTTTAGATCATCCCAGGCACCCATGACTATAGTACATTGGAAAACACCAATTGTAGACCATTGGATTAGGTCCGCAAGGCTTTCTGGTAGTCTTGTTGAGTCGTCGAGGAATCCACCGAAAGTCCGCCGGACTATGCCGGGTAGATGGTCATACATTTGCTCCTGAATACAATGAGCAAGACCGCAACGGTCTTAAGTAGAATCGGAGTTCCTTTCACATACCTTGACATCTTTTTCTGTGCTTGCATTGAATCTCCGAATTCGAATCGCGCTCTCGAGATAGTGTATGTAGACGATTATTTTTGCGACATTCGATGACAGGTCATATGTAACCTCGTCTGGGGGCCAAATATCGGCTTCGTGATGGGAGAGAAGAACCTTAAGGCATTGTTGATTAGTATAAGAGTAAAGGATAGTAGATTGTATTATCTCAACTCACACCGAGCATATCATCCACAAAGCAATAAATCATTACAAAATCAACCTTGCTCTCGAAAAGATGTATTGCTAGATCAAAGCCGTTTGAAACCATCCATTCAACTTCACTGGGTTGAAATAAAAGGGCGAGGTCTTCATCAGGATTCTCATCCCACGTATTTTTACCGGCCACTGGAAAAGTCAGATTGATAACGTACCACCCAAGGGATCGCTACCTACATCTTTCGAAAATGTCGATTGTCATATTCACATACTCCTTGCAGTAGTGGCCCCGTCGGAACTCACGAAAGAGTATAGTAAGTGCAAGCCTTGATTAATTAGTATTCCGGGCTAGGAGATTCAAATTTGAGGACGCGTTTCAACTGACATATGATCGAATTCAGAAAGTCGCCCTTCAAACGCATTCTGAAAGACCAGATCTAAGCATTGTATAACTGCTTCCGGCATGCATCCTAGAGAGGCCTCCCATGTGCACAGATACAAAAGATCCTCACTGTCAGATATCAGCTCTTCGTAAATCTCTAGCAATGCTTCGAGGAATGCTTTGGAGATTCTGCCACATCTATTCTTCCGTAGATGGTGTCGAAATTGAAGAAAGAAGACGTGTTCGTCGGTGTTACCGCCTGGAATTTGGATCATCATCTCAATCGCGTTATTAACCTTATCAGCCTTGTATTCTCCGGAACAGCCAAGCGCGACAATCGTGTATTTCCTGCTCGAGTATTAGAACGTGTAATTCTTCATCGAAGGAAATATCGTATAATTACTTCAGAACCGCAAGTCGGTTATAATCGGAAAGGCGATCGAGAATGTTGTTCTCCAGGATTTGAAGACACCATTGCTCTGCAATGTCGAAGGAAGAAATTGCGACTTCTGCTTCAATGCGCTTCCAGATGAGCTATCATCGATGTAAGTTAGCATTGACCGGGGATAGCTCTGCCATGAGTCCCTCACCATAACCACCGCCTGAACAATATCTTCGCCCAGTTCCACATCAGGGCGACTACCCAGGATTTGAGCTCCCTTGCGGACGGCATGAATGCATGTATGCGAGTTTTTTGCGAGGGAATTTGACAGCGAAACCAGCCGAAGGAACGTTCTTCTAAGAAATTCTGTCTTCTCTGATGGGACATTGGATAGCATCGAGTGGAAGGCCTCCGTGGCAATGTCCGGGCTGTTTCACGGTTAGAAGGATGGATTTTTGTTTGGAAGAGAACAATGGACTTACTTCAGATCCCACAAAGCCCTCGCGAAGTTGGAAACCCTTGAGATATTTATTAGGTTGGGATTGCAGAACAACATATAAAACAACTCACAGCTCCCATCCTTGACCAGTCAGGCCTGGGCATTTCATAATCGACTTCAAAACTAGACTCGCAGTTTCAGTTCGATGGCTTAGGACTTCAAATGGGAAATCGGTCCTCACCTTCGAGAAGTCTTTGGCAATCTGGGGTTTCATTCTGACGGATGACCTCAATTTCAAGAACCAGGACGGAAAGGGCGTCGCTGTTACTCTGAAACATCGTCAGACAGATCAGAAAGTAAAACAACAACGAGTTCTGACTTACCCTCTTCAGATTCTCCATCTCCTTTTCGATGTCTTTCCTTCTAGTAACGTTCTTCGTGGCGAGGTATGCACGAACTAGCATATTCACATTAGCTCATGCGGATAACCCAATGATTGGAGAAGTACCAAGTGTCGCGCGGCACCGAATATTCCAGATTCCGATATCACCGGACGTTGTCTCGTTCTTTGCGATGGACAACTCGACTTGCTCAACAGCTCGTTGTAACCACATAGTGGCAACATTAGGGTCTGTGACCAGTGCGCCGATTCCAGCATTGTAGCAAGTTTCGATAACGAGGTCTCGGTTTCCGAGTCGATTCGCTAGTGGCGCCTTCGCAAATAAATGATCGGCAATATCAGGGCGACACTTGAGAAACTCCTGTAGACAGATTAGCCCCGGGAGCAGACTTTCCAGTGAAACAGCTTTGAACATACCAGGCGAACTCGAAGCATGTAATACTCGGTAGCAATGTCATCCAGCTGGTCTTGGTCAATCGAGAGTGTAGAGCTTTTCAAGGAGTTGAGTCGCTGCGCAGTGGTCTCAAGGATCTTAAGCGCCGAGTCTAACAGATCTGCGTCTGTAGTACGAGTCAATTTCAGTCTCCTTTGTATAGTATTTCGTTTGAGAAACTTACCCATCGAGGAACGTGCGGCTGCAAGTTCAGCCCTTAAGATCTTGATATGACATGGAAAATGTTTGTTCTCACAGATTGCCGCATGAACTGAAGGCAGGCTGGGCTGAGACGCCATGGCGAAGTTGGTTAGATTAGCTGTTAGGAGCTGGGGATAGGGTGTTGATTGAGTCAAATAAGAGGAGAAACTTTGTGTGTGATGGATCTTGGGACTTTCAGGGTGGTTGTAATTGACCGAGGTGAGAGATGAATGAGTGGTGGTGAATAAGAGGGTGAAGTTGTTGGGGATAACACACTTGGAGGGATGGAAGGAGGAAGAGCAACTACGGCAAACCCGAGAGCAACCACCAACCACTACAAAGCAATCTCAGACAAAAGATATGGGACCAATCGCCGTAAATTCAATGCGAGATAATCACTATTGTACACATTGTACATTTCAAGGCAAGGAGACGTCCAGCCTCGGGGAATCAAAAACCAAAGCTCGTAAGTAAAGTCAACCAACAGAATGCCAAATTTTTGGAACCTGAGCTATACCAAAACAGCCCAGCGATATGAATCAAATGGAAAGAAAAATAACCGAATTCTAAATCCGAGGCCTACTTGTGTATACGCTGCGTAGGAAGGAAATTACCAACAATCATAGAGGGACTAGCAGGTGGTTAGCATGCGAGTAGTTTGTTGTCCACGAGAGCTCTTACATGTTATGATTGTCGCGTCGGATCGTAAACGAGAAACAGCATTGGATGCCCTCGCCTGTTGAGTCGGAATTCGGGCTCTTCAGAGTACAACTGGTGAGCATTGCCTTCTGTGTGTTATCAAAGGCAATGGCACCGAACTTCTCCCAGTAGCTGACGAGTTGATCTTCAACTATAATTTCATGGATGGCAAGTTTTCCCTGGAACAATTGATTAGTATGTGGGCGGGCAGGGTTTGCTGACAGTATTCATCCAACTCACATCACGCAGACTTTCAATCGGGACATCAATCAATTGCGCCATCTCATTGTTTCCTCGGAAGATCTCTCCTGTTCTTCGCCAGCAGCAGGCGGGGATAGCCATACTGGCAAACACACGGTCATACTCCATCAGGCTGCGCTCAAACCACATCTCCACCAGAATCAATTCGATATCAGTGAGGCTCTGCATGCGCTCACGGAACTTCGGTCGGAACTTGTCTAGCTGGCGGAGGATCTTCTGCCGGGATGATTGGTGCATATTCTTCTCCATATATTGGTTGAGTCTGGCGTATCCCTTGACGTAATTGAATGGCTTCAGCAGACCGGCGTCGTACTTCGCCTTGAGAAGCTTGTTCATGCGCTCTTCCGGTGGGTCTGATCCTGACGGGTCTGCCGCAGTCATATAGTATGTCTCACGGGCCTTGTCATTTCCAACAGTAGACGTTGGTCGTTGGATCGAATCGCCAGGTGGTGCCTGGCTCTGTGTAGGTGGCGCAAGCTGCGAGGGTTGGATGCCATTCGGCACGTTCAAGGTGGTCATCGAATTGATCAACGAGGGGTCGGAGTATATTTCGTTCATATTCTGATCTGGGAAAATCGCGCCGTCGTCCAACAAACTGTTGCTAAGGAAATCACCAAGCAAGTTGTATTCGTTTGTGACCTCAGGCGCATTGAACATGTACGACGGGTGGAGAGAGTGCATGTCTTGGAACTGGTTCTGTCCACCCATCCAATTCTCGTACGCCATCACTAGAATTCCCAAGTCAGCGGAGAGCCCGACCACGAAAAGTATTTCGCCGCAAAATATACTTACTGGGCTGAGAGGTGGCATTGAGACCTTGGCCCGACGAAGTAATGCTTGCCGGCTGTACCGTGGAAGGCGGCATTCCCATCGCACCGTCGGGGAGGATTTGCTGGCCGGCAGCATCCGAGACGTCAACATTTTGAGGCATGCCTGAAACGTTGACTAGATCATTATTGGACGAGGCTGGCTCGTCCGCGGTCGAATCGTCTTGATCACGGCGTTTCGTGGGTTCCCTGGGCTCGTCGTGGCATAAATGACCGATATTGCGCTTTATACATCGGGTACACGGCCGTTCCTTCAGAAGTCGCAAACAGGTCAGCAGGCAGATCTTCCCATAAGCAACGGGTGGATTGAATAGATAGATGGATATCATAAATCAAACGGGAGAGAGGTCGTACCGAATCGCAAGTCATATGCTGTCCCACGCGACCACCTTCAGTTAGCAAAAGTGTTCCTCAAATAGATTTCTTGCCACCTCCGCAAATGAGATGAGGGGCTCCAAACGGCGGGGATGTTGTCGCGAAGGGCAACCGGGTGCGCGCGCCGGAGGAGATTGAGAATATGAATCAAGAGAGGGCTTACCGAGCGACGACAGTAGACACAGGCTGTTGAAGGGGATTCATCTCGTTAGCCCAGGTACTTCTTCCTCTTCGGGTCTTCTCTCTCCCCACCCGATCACTCCCACGGAGAAGCGCAGGAGGGGGATTGGAGGATGACGAATCCCTGTCGCATGCGCGCGCGAACGACAACTCACCATGATTGACCTTGCGACGCTTCTTAGGACTGGAGTGACTGCCGGAGCCAGTGGTTTCGGACTTGACCGCAGATGCTGCTGGCGAGTCCTTTGCGCGCGCATCCCTCCCTGCGTCGCCTTTAGACTTGGCAGTCTTCTCGGATGCGCTTTTCTCTGTCATGGCGAAAATGCTGTGCTCGGGACCGGGCGTAATGGCTGCCTGCAGACATTGACAGGATTGACAAGATTGAGTACAGTTTGGAGGGGAAAGGAAGGGTGTCCCGATCAAAGTTGGGGGGAAAGTTGCGGTTCGCTGTTAAAAAGCGGAGTCATCCAGTTTCCCCTCCGACCTGCTCCGCATTGCTTTCCCCGAGGGCGGACTGCGGTGGGTGTCTATGGGGCTTACAGTGCTTACAGCTTACAGCTTACAGTGCAACCTGCACTAGTGCAATCATGATCATTTTGGCAACCCCCAGATATTGTTCATTGCTTTGTGGTAATTACTCTGCTCTCATAGGCCTAGGCCGAGGCCGAGGCCCAACCGGTCACAAATGCCGCGAGCATCTCGGCAGCTAGAGGAGAATCCCCAGATTGCCTTGGTCGGCCTAGTCCATGCCCCTCACGATCTGGTGAGATTTGTAGAAATTACCCCTGCATCTCGCGCGGAAGCCTCTAGGAACAGCCTAGGCTGATGTGCCTGATTCACATGTAGCGAGGAGATCTGAACACGCAAAGGATTGAGGTCTGGCCTCGGGCTCGGGGCGCGATTCTCAACCATCACTTTGTTGCAGCCGCTGCACCTCCGATCCTTCAGAGCGTTGGCAGTTCACATGTCCCTCGCTTCGTATGGATGGTGAATGAAAATTACAGCCCCATGGCCGTGCATCGTATGATCATCGGAATCTTGTATGGGTATATGTGCCGCGGCCTCAATCGTTCGAGAACAGATCCAATGCAGCTTGTGATCGGGTGAGGGCATCTCTCAGCCCTGTGAGCGGGGCCATATTGCTCTGCATGGACTGGAGATGGCCGTGGAGTTGTTTCATGAGGACCTGGACCTCGGGGTCATCGTCCAACTAGATAATTGTCAGCACATTTGTTCCAACACAAGAGACGACCGCAAGCGTTCATACATCATCAAGGTTGATCTGGCTGTTCTTGGCATCCGCGAGTGTAAATTCAGATGATTGACCATCTTGAGCTTCCTTCGGGTTGTCCAACTGTCGGAGAACAGGGTGCTCCTGCAGAAGACAGTTAGCTCGAAGTTGTTTTGAGATGTGAAGTAGTTCCCTCACCTTCTTCATCTGGCGTTTTCTCTCAGCGTCTGCCCGCTTGGCGTTTTTATCCATCTCTTGCAACGCTTTCTTCTCGCTGGCAAGAAGTGCCTCCTCCTTCGCAATTTCGGATTTCAAGAGGTCGATACTGTCATTCATCGTGGACAATTTGGCTTCGAGGCCACGCTAGTAGCCAGTTAGTACGACATGAAGTGGGCGTTGGCAGGTTCCAGGTCACGCACATGTTCATTGAGCGCAGACTCGTAATCAAAGTTGGAGTCCTTGGTGATCGGAGGGAAGGGCATTCGTGGCAGTCGCTTTCCAAGACTATCGATCATATTAGATTAGCACGCTTTCGCTTTCTCATATTTCGCTACCACTTGTTTGCAGTGGATCACGCAGCATCCGCAAGGTAAACATTCGTAGACGTACTTGCGCACCACTGCCTGGACTGCACTCTGCGCCTCAATGCGCTTCTGTTCATTTTTATTGCGCATAATCACCGGTCGCTCTAGCGAGTGGAATAGGTCCCGGACCTTATCCTGGACCGGTTCGGGGAGAGTGGTCCATTTCGCCTTGATGGTCTTTTCGGGAACGCGACGAACTTGCGGCTTCAGATGCGCGTATCGCTTGGATTCGGTCGCTTCATCGTCATTTTCGCTGGCGCGCTTCCGTTTGGGCGGCATACTGGAGTGGAGTGGAGGGGATGTTCTGGTGTGGTGTGTTGATGAAGCTAAGTGCAATGCGGAGTTGCAGTTGAGTTCGGCGCGTCGGCCAAAACAGAGTGGATTGCCAGTGGGTCAGCCTGGGCTGGCGGGGGGGCTACATACTCCATGGGGGGCATACTTCATATCCCCCCAATTTACAATCTCTACATCATGTGAACTATTTACGGCCTTCCAAGCACCATGGAAAATTTTGATTATGTTAAGGAGCTCACCAGAACTCTTCGAGTGTTAAGTTCTTTCACATCCTGACTTCCCATGTTGCCATGGTCATGAACCATGTAATGATCGAGCAATGTATAATACCTCCTCTTGACTCCATGTCTCGCCTTCTGCCCGTCGGAAGCTATCAAGATCATTCAATGCCTCCAGAATATACGTTTTGGTACTTTCGTTATGTGCTGATGCAAAAGTGAATATCAATGCAGCTTGCATGGCAGGCAAACCAAGTGGTTCGTGGAGCCGACTATATTCGATGAGCTTCCAGACTCGGTGACAATGTTTTAAAACAAGTGCTTCCAGCTCCAGGCTCTCCGCCTTCATTTTTATACGCAGAGATATCAAAATTCGACAAACCACGATGCTGAAAATGGCGAGATGGCACATTGCCATCGCTGCCATTGTTGTCCTAACCTCGAACATAGTTGGCAGTGGATCATCCAACCGACGAGATGGAATTTCGCTGATTGATCCATGTTCATATATGAACCGATCAAGTGACTTTTCAATATGCTGCAACTCATTCAGCACGTCGTGTGCCTTTCGAGATAGGCTCGGAATATTGATTCCTGTGTCGCCCGTTGCAAGAAGTGAGCTTTCTCGCACAAGCGTGGGCCACACCGTCATCGACCGCATTAATCTAAAATACACAGTTTTGAGGTCTGTCGTGTGACCTCGCATATCGAGTGCATCAGCCCATTCGGGATTGACCAGAAAGCTATCTTCCCTTTGGGACACATAGTGCTGAGTCTGAAACCCATCGCATTAGCAACGTAGATCGCCCAATGTAGAGGGAAAAGAAGAATAGAGATCTCACTTACAATAGAGAGGTGACTGTCCATATTTGCTTGGAATTCCATCAAATCGTCCTTCTGGGGAGGGCCCCTCTTTTGTAACAATGCAGCTAAGCCAGAAGCGTGAACTTTGATGCCATTCTTTCGGAAATTCCCGAACAAAGCCTTTGAGACATTAGTTACTATAATATTACAAAAGAAAAGAGTAAAAAGCTTACCTCGAGACGATGTAATAAGATTGCACTGGACAGAGTGCCCAGAGAATCCCACTCATTAGGGTCATTGAGCGCCTGCTGCAGACTGCGCAATGCATGGCTGTATAAACGGGGTGGTATTCGATTGCACGGATCACATCCGCGTAGGAAATTTTCGTAAGAAGATATTAAGCATAGAGTTGCGGAATTTATGGCATTCGAATGGCCTAAAAGCTGCGGTATGTCGTAAATAAACTGACCCACCGTTCCTAAGCAGAATGAGGGATCTTGGATTCGAAGTGTTACGGCGAAACGACCTGACAGGATTTCAGATTCACTCATTGAAACTGAAACACAAGGATAACTCTGAAATCGCTTGTCATCGGACGTTATGATGGCCCCTTGAAGGGGTTTCCTCGTGGCATCCTTGGATCTTAAAGGAATCTTTCGAATTTTCGCGCCATCATCAATAAACTTCAACGAAGGCCGTGGGGGACAGACCCGTTTAGACCGTTGGCATGGCCCACAGACAGGCCAAGCGCCGTCGCACTATTTCCGTGCAATCGATTATTAGCTGGAGGGGCTCGCCACGATTTTCAGTTACTACATAGTCCCACCTTGACCTTTCGTTTCCGACACGTCTCGCAGCGGTTGCTTGGCAACGCCCCGACCATATTTTCTGTCTCTGACGTGCGAGATTTATCTGCTCAAGTAGGGGGGGTGCATTGGTCGGAGGATGGGCGATTTCAGGAGTTCTGTTGTTGGCCAGGGTCGACCTCGTATTCTCAGCCTGCGCCCCGCTCTTCGCAAATCCGCTCACTTTAAGTTTAGCGGCATAATGCTTGTCAAGGCGCAGTGGACGATCATCTACAACTTGGGCAATATGCAGTGACAACCTTTTTTTGTGAGGGTTAGATTAATATAAAAGCATCCGCAGCTGGGAATTTGGACGTTATACTCAATCAATATACCCACTCCCAACACATCTTCCCAAAGTCTATATTCGATTATCAAAATGTGCCTTCTTCTCATCCCTCTGCTTTGCAAAAAGCGCAAGAATTCTAAGAACGCCGATCCCTCACCACGACCAGTCCCTAATTCACATCAAAATGGTGGCGCCGGAATAGGAAGAAATGGCAAGAAATATCAAAAAGATTTGAAGAAATACGGACCTGAAGTTGCCGAAAAGAATCGAAGAAAAGAGTTGGAATTGCGGTAGCGGCGTGAGTGCTTACTGATGAAGTTCAATGTTTTGTTAAGCTAACAAGTCTTCTCAGAGCTTGTTGAAAGACCTTCGCTATTACCTCCAGTTGAGATACTGTTTCAATGTACGAAATGGACAAGCAGAAAGCATGGTCCCGGGTCCAACCTTGGAAGATATAGTCAACCGCCGGAGGGTGGAGAAGAATTTTGTTTGCCTATAATTAGTTTAAGCATGCCACTGGCAAGGATCAAGTGCCTTTCTAGAAGAGTTCTATTCTTAGAATAATATGTCATAATCTGCCATATCATACTACATAAGAGTGTTAGATATGGCAATTTTGTAACGAAATAATTGTGGACTAAGAACAACAGTCATACTCTAGAAAGAGCCTGTGCTATCATGCCATGCAGCACTGGGAAAATTGGTAAATTTTCCTTACAAATAATTTATTATTAAATCCTAGCAGATTGTTAGCCTCCAAAAGGTTTGCTGGAAGGCGTTGAAAGGTGAAGAAACTCATTGATTAAAGTTAATCCGTCTGAGCAGGCCTAATCTCACTCAATGTAACTAAGCCTTGCGCCCCCAGATTCACCTTGCAGATCATCCCCCCAAAAATGTCAATTTTGCGAGGACTGAATTGTAAGCCTACTCAGCATCGCCCGATTTCAGCCAGTGTTGTATGTAGCTTTCACAAGTTCGCAAAATGTCCCAGAATGGGAATGGCCTGTTACCATAAGTTGACTTCCAGGGAAGAAGGCAGATAATATTCGACGGCTCTGGTCAATGACTTCAAAAAGGAATAGTATAAAACCAAGCTCAACCCCCCCCTCAAATCATCCTCATCATCCCAAAGTATCAATCACTACCAATCCACTTCAACTCGACTTCATCAAGGCCCTCTTTCAATCCAAGCTTCGAACTTCTACCAAACAAAATGGCACCTATTACTCTCTTCGTCGCTATGCTAGCTACAGCATCTAGTGCATTTGGCTACACCTTCACAACCTGCAACGCAGGCTGCACCGGGACTGGCTGTGGAGGAGAAGCTACTTCGTGGACCCTTGGACCAGCCAGCACCCAAAACATTCCAGGCACCCAATGCATCATCTGGCCCTCGGGTGGTGAGGCCGGCTCGTGGGATGTATGCAATCGCGCCAACGGCGGTGGCTCCTGCACCAGCGGTAGCAACCTCAACTGCTTTGATGCTGAGGATTCGTCTGGAAGAAAGATCTGCAATACTGCTGGAACCCAGTTCATTGGTATCAAGGCATAAATCATTCAGGCAATGCCTATTTATACGCGCGTTCGAGTACACTCGTTTTAAAGGGATGGGTTGGTCAAGTATCTTCATTGCAAAGATATAGCATCTGCACTTCTTTTGTCTGCCCAGGTGTTCAGCTTCAAGTTGTGGATGCCCGATTTCTGAGATGGTGGAAAGGGGAGGTTGCTACTGTCAATTTGTTTGCCTGATTTACCATCGATTGTTGTTTTTTCAGTTAGCTTGTGTTTCTTGATTACTGTCACTTAATTTTCCCAAGTCAACACAAGAAATGATCTTATTAAAGCTCCCGGGCACGACATCTCGTATTTTGATATGCATGTTAGATGGAAGAGTACATTTTCTGATTACCGAATAATCCGGGTGAATATCATATCTCCTAAATTACAGCGAATATTAAAGATCCGCCGTAGTTTGAGGCTCCGTACTTCAAAGCAGGTCCCCACCTCCTCTGCCCGATGAGTCTTTGAAGCAAATGGTCAGATTTTCGAGCTCTTGTTGAAGCAATTCACGGTCGTCAAATTTCTGAGCTGTGTCGAAATCGATCAAAGTACCCTTCGAATTCTGGATAAGAAAATTAAATCCATTGGTCTCTCCATGTCGGACTCCTAAATCATGTAGTCGAGATAGTACCTCCCCGCACATCTCAATGTCCTGGGTGTCAGCGTGTCGGGCATCGCTTATGCGTTCCAGTAGAAGCCCAATCACCCGACCATTTTCAATTAAATGACCCAAGAAACGAGGTCCGGTATTATGGCCGGATATCAATTGATATGCTGTAGTTCGACTTTCCACGTATTGAATCTCCCAGTCGAACCGAGCGAATTTTGCGACGACTGTATCCTGGAATAATGAGGATTTGACTTCATAAATTCTTGCTCGTAATTTTCAACCAATCGAAAGGTCCGAATAGTCGACACAGGTTTCGTGCCAATCTATACAACTGCCGCCAAGACACCTCATACCTTTGTGGCTTCCATTAGCTCGCAATGGGGATGTGTTTTCCTTTCACTATTTCCCCACATTCCTTGAGATGATCCTGAAAACTGACCATCGTGTACTTTCGACGCCCGTGGAGTGGTCGACAATAATGTAGAGACTTGCAGGCGACACAATGAGAGCCTCAATCTGGGGATGCCGTTTTAAAATTGAAGAACGGAGCACATATGATACCAAAGAAGCGCCTAGGATTAGAAGTTTTTCGATCAAGAAGTCTTCAGTTCTAGGTGGCCGCAGCTTCGGTCCATCTTTTTTATGAAGTGATCGTTTCGTATTGAAGGCCGCTAGCTTTTTGGAAGCTACTTTTGAAGTGTACTCTTCCATCGAACTGATAGATCCGTGGACAGTAATTCCAGCTTCTCGTGCAGCAGAATAATCGTATAAAACCTCTCGACGCCGCCATTTTATTTTCCGCGATGAGTAACAGCCAGGGATGCTTTGAAGAGAAGGTAGCTTTGCAAGATTTTCAGAGTCAAGGCCGAGTTTCCAGATTCTATCATTCCGCGAGAGGGGTAGAAAATCGACATTTTCAGTAAAGCATAAGAAGCAAACACGACGACAGGTAACCAAGTACATTTAGCCGCCAAAGTCTCCACAGCTTTCACACTCTGCTGCAGTTATTCTGTCGTAAAAGTCCCCGCATGAAAAGAATCGTGCTGTGCCTATGTTGAGGCTTCCGAGAACTGATAGTGGTGCATGAACGCGTATAAGCTTGTACTGCGGGTGTGAGTCCGTGATCAATTTCGATCTTTTATTGACACGTCGAAAATCGGTCAGCGACTGTATGTCGAGGAGAAGAAGTGTCATGCAGATTATTTCTAGGGGGTGTCTATCAATAGCTCCAATCCCGTAGCACGGGGTATCTAGCTTGGAATGACGCTGCTCATCCGAAGCATGAAATTTGGCATAGTCATCTAGGGTATTATCCTGGATGTCGAGGAAAACATATGTGGATTCGCTCGTTTTTCGAGTGGCCATAGATCTTGTTGGTTGTGATTTCGCGACTCAGCGGCTGATCCGGCATGGAATTTGAGATTTGATAGAGCCTTGTTTTTAGTAAGAAATTCAAGGATGCAGAAGCTGGAGAAGTGGAGACATAAAAGAATGGCAGGTGTCGACTTTGGCAGCGCTGTTCACAGTAACTTCCATGGATCACCCGTTTAACCCTCGTGCCACAATCGCTTAGTAATCCTTGGATCATTCATCCACCTGTCCCATCACTACCATTGAATTGTAGTTATAGGGCGATTGGCCCATCACGCTACGACAGCAGGAAGCGATGCTCGGCCCTGACTTTCGATTTATTATCGATACTAAGCTTGTTCTTAAAGTCTGTATCTTTCACTGTTCATTTTAATTCAATCACTATAGTCTTACATAGTCAACATATGTGTACAATGGCCTGAAAACCACATTTTATATTCATCATTTGATGCAGTGTGCCGCCCAGGGGAAGTCACTATTTGCCATGCAGCAGGACTTGGTCCATACTATGTATGCCTCAATATATGCCAGTGCGGTTCAATATATGAGAAAAAGAAAACAAGATGCAGAAAAGAGGTATGATGAACGCAACAACCAGCGAACTTGCCCACCCCCTCCAAAAAACGAAATGGTATCAATCATCAAGAGCCTATAGCGCCCACTCGCAATGAGTGCGTCTTCCAAACCTACCCAACCCAGCCGCTAAACCGCTAGAAAACAAGATAATGCGCCAAACCAGTTCAAATGATAAAATGAAACAACATTAAGGGTTCATGGTCACGTCACGTCAGAGGGATCACACCAAGTGCCCCCCGTTATCGTGGCATGACCAGACCATTAATGCCCTTCATCTCTACTATTTGCCTTTGTAGAATATCATTACCGCGTAACAGTTCCTCGAGCCAGTCAGCGGCCTGAGTCAGCATGGCACTCTTGCTAAACCCGCCACCCCGGAGTCCCGGGACGAGAATGCATAGATCGTCGAAACCTTGACGGATGAGATTACGCCGCTTCTGCTCCGAGAGGATGTGGTTGGTTCTCTTCTGCTCTTCAGAAAGATTCTCACGAGCGTTCTTGCTATTCGGTGTAAGTCGCGCCTTGCTCGAGGAGTTTGTGGCGGTAGAGGCACGTCGCGCTTTGGCATTGCTCGGGGTCCTGGACTTTCGAACCAGTCTTGCATCTTCTTCGTCCGAGAGCATTTCGCCATCTTTGATTATGCGTTGTCGTTTGCGTGGCTGGGATAGATCTTCTTGTTCCGCGTTGCGAAGGTTGGCTCGTTGGGCGTGAGCGGCAACCAGTCGCTCCGGGGTCGTTGGGCGAGTATTGGCCGCGCTGGCCTGAGGCTCGAAACAGTCTAGATGTTCTAAAAGATCCCGCGTGCGAGTTTCCATGTCGGGTTGGTCGGGTGGGGCGATGTAGCCCTGGTCCATGAAACTGTTGTCAGAGCCCCAATGCAGACCTCGCACTTTGCGAGAGGGGTGCTGGTCTTTGGGGATGGGGTCTCGGACATCGAAGAGCATCTCGGAAGTGTGAAACCCGGTTGGAAGTTGAGCTCTTGTCGGGGATGAGCCGGATGCATGTGCCACACCCACAGGATGTGTGGCGCGGCGGCCTTGGGATGAAATGGGCTGACCAGCGAAGGCTTGCTGCGCCAGCGCAGAGCCGATTTCAGCGCCATTCATGCCATTTTGGTAGAGCATCGAGGCAGCCGCGTAGACATCATAGCCTGCACCAGCACCATTCCCGAGCATCAATCCAGGTTTGAGATTTTGCTGCTGTTGGAAGGATGGTTGAGACAGCGATGTCGTCGAGCCCTCGAATGTTGGGGGCAGTTCACTGTTCCAGTCAAAGTGGATACCGGAAGATTTGTCCTGTTGACCGCGAGGCCAGAAGTCATTTGAAAAGCTGTTTGAATTCATAGTCGTGAAGAAGTTGTCAAGCATGTTGGATTCGTTATCGTCAAGAAGTGAAGGACCCGGGGGCAAGGCGGGTGCCTGTTCAAATGGGGTATCCATCGGAGCGAGAAAGGAGTCTGGAAGAATATTAGAAACGACGTTTCACCCTGAGACGATAGAGAATCGGAAGAGTCATCGGGACGAAACTTACAGCCAAATGGACCAGCGTCTGGAGGGGAAGTGCGAGTGGTATGTACTTCAGGACCGGGTCCATTCATTGTCACAAGCGACCACGATCTTTAGGTAGAAGGGGGAGGATAGCGGGATGGGATGGGGTCAGAAAGTATCGCTCTGAGCGATGGAGAGCAAAGATGACCGGAGCCAAGCGATCATGCCTCGTGAAAATCCGGGGAACAAGTTTCGTCCGTGATATAAGATTGAGTCACGTCAAGCGAGGATCTGCGTTGCAGTTCACGACGGTGTAGGAGAACGGAGGATGTCGGGATGCCAGGTGAAGATCAAGATGAGAAAAAACACAAAGAACGATTCAAGAAGAAAAGGCAAGTGTGATGACGAGGAAGATGGAGGAGAAAGCTGGGGAAGATGAGTGTGGAGCGCCTCAATCATCAACATCGCATCGCAATCATCGTCGGCCTCGGATCACATGCAAATTTTCCGCGGTCGCGTGACGTAACGTACTGCATTTACCATACAATACCGCCCAGTCCCACTATGGCAAGAAGGGACCGGGAAGCGTTGAATACAGTATGGCCATAACAAATTAGCTATGGGATGATTGGTGATGGGTAATTCTACGAATAGTTACAGGAATGCATAGATACATACACTCTGTATGTGTGTATCTACAGTATAGAGTGGAGTAGATGCTGTATGTGGTGCAGTGCGTGCAGTACGTGCAATGCAGTGTAGTGTATAGTGTAGGTATATGTATAGTTCCATACTGTATGTACCGTACCTACATGTGTGCCTTCCACATCTCGACTATGAGAGGACTACAGCCTGAGTACTGTACTCTTTACTTACAGTCTACTCCGTACACTACACTCTTACCTTCTGCCTTTGACACGAGCACACCTACACCTTACACCTTACACCTTAGTGACTCTGTACAGACCTCCACTGCCGTGGACCTTGGTCCGTGGTCCGATGTCCGACAAAGCCCCGCAGTCTCCATACCCTGACCCCTTCCTTTCATACTCTCCATGATCGTCCACCCCCTGAGAACAATCCCAAACCTAACAAAGTCCTTTTGCGGGGACTTCTTCCTAGAGGGGCCGAGGTTCATTACTCCCCTACCCTACTTATACTACCCCGTCACACAGATCCACGGTTGATCATCGACGCGAGAAAAGAAAAGAAGGAAAACAAAAAACACCGATCTCTTGCAGGAGGGTTGCCCCGGGAGGATCCCCCCCCCCCCTTCTCCTCCCTCGGCTCCGAGCCAATACTACCCAATTTTCGGGCACCCGCAAATTCTCGGTCACCGGTCACCGGCCACCTACTGGAAGTCTGTTGTTTGCGATCTCTCTTGTTTTCCCCTGTCGTCTCATTGGCGACAGGTAACACGCGTTGGACCTGCCATCCCCGATCCAGACCCTAACGAAAGCCTTGGCACGCCGTTGAGACCGGCTGGGATGCTTATCCCGAGTCTCCCGCCGATCAAGATATGGTTACCGGCAGGATGGATCCTGTCGTCCGGCTGAGTCTCCATGACCGTCAATTTAGGACCCGGGTTCTTCACCCGTAAGTCGTTCCTGAACTTGGGAGCTGGGGTTCGCTTCCCCTTCCTCCCCCCCCCCCCAAATAACGGTTTCTTCAGGAACCGTGGAAACCAACCCCGTGTAGTACGGAGTACTTACTTATATCGGTATCCAGTTTACTTCGCGCCTACGCATTAGGTTATCTCTCCGCGGTCACCCCCAAACTCATCTCCTACGCCCGAAGACTCGGGGCAAGAAACTGGGATACCACTCAAAAGCTACGTGAGGTACGTTTCAGGTCACTTTTGAGATTTCTTTGAGCAACTTTCCAGTCACGCAGTGATGTCACTGCTGCCCCTCCCTGGTGCTCAAATTACAGTCTCTCGATCGTTGCGATATACCTCGCAGGCTGACTTCGAATCTGAACCTTATAGCTGGCTCAAGTTCTAGCCGGGCCTTTGCGTATCAACAGTTTCCCAACATTCTGCGCTGCGTTGGTCGGTGGATCAACCTTCCTACCGGCGCTGTTGTATCGGATATGTGTCTCGATCGTATCCAGTCCCTCCAAGGGTGACATTCGATTGTCCCTACGCCTGCGCCGCTTGGTACAGTTCGTCACGGCGTTCATCTCGGCATGGTTTAGTTTCCAACTACTGAACAAGAACCGTGGCCTTTCACGGAAAGATGTAAGCAGGAGAAGAGCAACAATCAGTCAAGAGGAGGACCCTGCCAGTGTCCCAGCCAATGCTCTCGAGCGCCCACCGCCTCCCGAGCTGGTCGGGAGGACAATGGACCTCACTCTTTTCACGGTCACAAGAGCGGTGGACGTGGTTGCCTGTCTGGCATGGAGTCGTTGGCGGCGCCGTCGCAGATTACAAAATCGCTGGACCCTGGCTGAATCTGTGGCCCCCGGTCTCGCAGACGCTGGAGTTTTCGCCATGAGTGCAGCCGTGGTCATGTGGGCATGGTTTTATGTGCCGGAAAGGCTACCTCGAAGTTACGAGAAGTGGATTGGAGAGGTAGCCAAGGTGGACACGCGATTGATCGAGGCTCTCCGTCGTGTTCGCTGGGGCACTTTCGTATATGGAAAGGATACAGGCCAAGCGCCTCTTCTAGAAGCCATGTGCAGAGACTACAACTGGCCCATAGAATGGGGAGACCCAGCCAAAACAGTCCCCATTCCGTGCGAAATGGTACACATGGGCTGCGGCCCTAATTGCGAGCTCCACGCATTGTCCCGCTTTGCTAGAACCTTCAAGTTTGCTTGTGCAACCTATATCCCATTGCAGATTGTCCTGCGCTTACGGGGCTTGAAGAACCCTGCCGTCTTGACTCGGGCCATATCCGAGGGTGCCCAGTCATCTGCCTTCCTCGCCTCCTTCGTGAGCCTCTTCTACTACTCCGTTTGTCTAGCCCGGACCCGACTTGGTCCCAAGATCTTCGACCAAAAGACAGTCACCCCGCTGATGTGGGATTCTGGTCTTTGTGTTGGGGCAGGATGCTTTATGTGTGGGTGGAGTGTACTTGTTGAAAAGGCGCGGAAGCGACAAGAACTGGCATTGTTTGTGGCACCTCGAGCTGTGTCTACGGTGCTGCCACGGTTGTATGAGAAAAAGGTATGTTATGTTTTATCCTCCCATCTCCCGGTTGGCGTGTGGTTACACACGCTTTACCTTTTTTCGAGGAGCCTCGGTGCTTCTTGGAGACCTTTTATCATAGTCATGCGATAACTAACAATTTTTTCCCCTTTCTGACAGTATTTTTACCGCGAGCATATTGCCTTTGCAACGAGCGCTGCTATTCTTATCACCTGCCTTCGGGAAAAGCCTCGCTTGGTCCGAGGCGTCTTCGGCCGTCTTGCTACCAGCTTGTTGAACTAGGAGTGCTGTGGTGTTTCTGTATTATTATCACGTTTTCACGGACTGTCCAGGTCGACTGTTTTATTAGCATTTACCTACTAGAAGACACTATAATGTGTATCAATAGAATATTGAATCATTATTTAATCTGAAACTTACCTTAGTAAGCTTTGAACCCTCAACGAAAAATGCCAGTCAGTCAGTCAGGTACGTGAATATGCACCGCTAGCTTGAAGTATTCGACTTGTAAAAATCCCTGGTCTTCTAATTAAATTTCCTGAGGGATGCCTGCTCTCTCAATGGGGCTCTGTGCTGACACCCCGATGGGACGGCACGTGACTGCACTATCGATAACGGCTGGCACATGATCTTCAATTGGAGTGAAGGCCACCCGCATGATCGACGCATTGCTCCAATCTGAAGATATCAAGCCATGTTCCGCTCACTATTCCCCTCATGGGGACGCTGTACGCTGACTGGAACTATTCCACAGCGCTCAATCTATCTGCGAAAAGGTATATTCGAAGCAGAGAGGAGGTATTTCTCTGGCAATTCTCTGCTCCGCGCACCACGCAATGACTCCGCAGCGCCGTTCAACACGCCGCAATCGCAGCAGCGCAATACCTCCACTATGTGAGTCGAAGCTCTAGCTTTATTTATGCAGATTAGTCAATTTGGGCTAACAATCGCTCTCAGGTATTACACCATCAGTATGATTCTCGGAACTGTCGCTCTCGCATACGGATCAGTTCCTCTCTACAAAATGGTTAGCAGCACCCATAGTTGCCCTTAGCAAACCACCAACGTCCTGTGTTAATCCTTCTCTCTCGGATGCAGATTTGCCAACAAACCGGCTGGGGCGGACAACCCATCCTCACCCATCGCAATGGGGACGGCGACACTGCCGCACGCGTTACACCCGTGACGGACTCCCGACGCCTCCGTATTACCTTCAATGGCTCTGTTTCCGACGTCCTGCCATGGAAGTTCACACCGCAACAACGAGAGGTGCGAGTCTTGCCGGGCGAGACCGCGCTGGCGTTCTACACTGCCGTGAACAAGGGCCCTCAGGATATCATTGGAGTTGCTACGTATAGTGTCACTCCGGGACAGGTGGCGCCTTATTTCAGCAAGATCCAATGCTTCTGCTTCGAGGAGCAAAAGCTCAATGCTGGAGAGTCGGTGGATATGCCTGTCTTTTTCTACATTGATCCCGACTTTGCAACGGATCCGAACATGCAGGGCATTGATACGATCACACTGTCTTATACCTTCTTTAGTAAGAACACCACCCATAAAGGAAATTATCTTTTTGTGACCGAACTGACCCATCGCAGAAGCAAGATATGATGATAATGGCGTTTTGAAACCCATTCAATCATGATATACTGCCCCCGTGATCCTCAAAGACCCACGGTGCACACCCTGGACACTAGAACTGGCTTCATAAACCAGTAATTCGAAATTTGATTGATCAATAGAAGTCTGCAAAGTGCAAACTGCTTCTGACTCGACGTTCTCGATTCCATCTCATCTCATAAAAATCACACCTGTACGATACAAGTTGGAGTTAACGGAAATATTTGGAGCTGAATAGAAATTCAAGAGTGTATATATACTATTAAACCAGCTGCAATTGTTTCAATCTTCATTATAGAGTATTTGTCCTCGTGGGTTTTCATATGTGCATTGCTGTTTGATCAATTCGCATGTAGAGATGGTCTGCAATTAAGTGCCCGCACGGACCAAGCGTTAATTAGGCGGCGCGTTCCCGACGCGTCCTCCACAACCTGTATTTTCTTAGACAATCCAACCATCCAGCTATCCCACCAATCCCTCAGATATCATAATGGCGCTCCTCGTTGACAAGCTCCGACCACGGTCGCTCGACGCCCTTACATATCACCCCGAGCTTTCGGATCGCCTACGGTCGTTGGTAAGTGTGCCACAACTTGCCGAGCAGTAGCAGGCAGCTCAACTAATGCGAATCACTGCTTCACAGGCCCAGAGCGGAGACTTCCCTCACCTTTTAGTATACGGACCTTCCGGAGCAGGCAAGAAAACGCGCATCATTGCGACTTTGAAGGAACTGTACGGACCAGGCGTGGAGAAGATCAAGATCGACGCCCGAGTCTTCCAAACCACCAGCAACCGCAAGCTCGAATTCAACATCGTCTCCTCTGTTTATCACATGGAAATCACCCCGGCCGACGTCGGAAACTATGACCGAGTCGTCATTCAGGAATTGCTCAAGGAAGTCGCTCAGACGCAGCAGGTGGATCTGTCAGCGAAGCAGCGATTCAAAATTGTCGTCATCAACGAAGCCGACCATCTCACGCGCGATGCACAGGCCGCGCTGAGACGCACAATGGAGAAATATAGTCCTAATCTGCGTTTGATTCTCCTCGCCAACAGCACGTCGAATATTATTGCTCCTATTCGATCGCGAACCCTGCTGGTCAGGGTTGCTGCGCCTACAGAAAAAGACATTTGCTCGGCACTTCGCATTGCCGCGAAGAGAGAGGGCTGGACTGAAGCCGACGGGTTGAACAAGCGGATTGCAAAGGAGAGTGGACGGAATCTGCGTCGGGCACTGCTGATGTTTGAATCTATCTATGCGCAAAAGTGAGAACGCCACAGGCCATCCCCTCTCGGATTATGGGAATTCCAGTACTAATTGCCATGGATATTTAGTGAGAAAGTTACAGACACGAGCCCTATCCCTCCCCCCGACTGGGAAGCTCTCATCCAAGTAACGGCGGATGAGATTCTTAAAGACCGATCACCTGCCAGCCTTTTGCAGGTCCGCACTCGCCTCTATGATCTTTTGACCCACTGCATCCCCCCAACAACCGTACTCAAGGTGAGAATTGGATGCGATATTTCCAGATACCCGTGGCAGAAACTTACTTGTCTCACAGACTTTGACTTTCAAGCTCGTGGCACGAGTGGACGACGCACTCAAGCCCGAAGTGATTAAATGGTCTGCATTCTACGAGCACCGAATCAAGCTGGGAAGTGTAAGTACTACTTAGGAGAACCCCAAGAGGCCTGATATTGGTGTAGAACTAACTCTCGCATAGAAAGTCATTTTCCACCTCGAGGCCTTCGTGGCCAAGTTCATGCGCATCTACGAAACGTTTGTCACCTGAGATCCATCACCTTTAAACATGAATGCTAACTCTAAATCAGTTATTTGATGGGCATGATGGAGTTTTGAAGCTTGAATATTACAAACAATGAATGACGATTGTATACTACCAGGGCGCAGAATTCTGATCTAATGATCTCGAAATGCTCGCCATTCTGTCAGTTTGCGGAACATGACACCGGTGCCCGGGACTCGGAAAAGCTGCGCTAGGACTTCTCTCTTTTTTTGTAGGCGCATGAAGGCATTTTCGTGGTAGATTTATTGGCGTTTCGATTGCAGGTTCTCAGCTATGCATCTAGTGATCAATACACTTTGCATTAATTAAACCATAGCAGGGGACAACCATGCAACAATCATTTTGAAGGAGTCCCTTTAATTAAAGCACGCTACTAAACCATCATTCCAATATTACTAGTAGGAATCAGTATTGATGTATCAGCAGTCAAGAAGCGGAGTTCCTGGAAGGTTCAAGTTTGCCTGTTGGATCGACCTATACTACGTCATCACCTACCGTCACAGGACCACCTCAGAGCATTTACTGAGATCATGCCGGGTTCCTTCCCCGCCTTATATAATATCCTGACTATTTCGAATCATTCGGAACTAAGATAATAGCAAGGTGCAACCAAGACCTTCAAGATGGACGATCCGAGATTGATTGACATGGAGCCTGGTGGGGAAAGCACCCAGTATGACAAGTCCTATCTAGCCCGAGAGAACCCCGCCGCTGCCATTGAATAGCCTGGAGCTTCTAACTGAACTGATGAATGTAGATATGAGTCCATCCGATTGTACACTGAGCCTCCTGAGAAGCAAACCGGGCAAATGGGGAGTAAGTAAACGACCGTATTACCGGTTCAACTCCTACCAGGGCAAAATGATACTTGTGTATACTGACTGGAATGTGTAGGTGGAGAAGCGCATACTCAAAGCCAGCTTAGTACCAAAGGCGAACCTGCAAGCGAGGCCAATGGCAGTGGCGATGAATACAAGATGGCGCAGAGACTAGGAAGGGGCGTTGTGAACGAATCTGAAGGTAAATAGAGAATATATCGTTGTCTTCTAAAACTCCTAATACCAGACAAAAAGATCTTCCCGGGAGGAGCCGGATTTCATGGACACCCCCCGGAAGACGCGCAAAAAGACTAACGGTAATGTACAGAGGATCTCGACACACCAGGCGATGCAGCCACCGCCAAAGCGAGGAGACAGCAGGGGTATGGGCCCGGCTCCAATGTCGGTGCTTAATTCAACATAGGGCAAAAGTGGAATGGAAGCGTTGAAAAACATGAAGTCTCGGTATGATGCAGGCGAGAGAACAGTTTATTGAGAGGGGGAAGAAGGGTCGGAGGAAGTGCTTTGTGGCGGGTTGGGGAGGTCGTTGGTTCCGAGGGGAGGGTTTCGGCGGGCACGCTTGAGGGAGTCGAGAGTGACACCGTTGCCGAGCTTTGTGATTCCAACGACGGGAGGATCATCCTTCTTGACAAATTCCCAAAGGCCTGTGGAATATTAGTATAAATTGCGACAATAATGATTATGGCCTTCGCTGCTTGAGAGATTGTTTCCATACCGGGTAGCTTGTGACCAGCCAGACGGAAGGCCTCGCGGGCGACCTTCTCGTGAATATCTCCCTTCAACTCGAAGACAACTCGGCTCACGGGCAATCGAACAGTCCAGTAGTCGAATTTACCCTTACCCTTACCCATACGCTGCTCGTTACCCTTAGTGTACACACCGATATTGGCGCTGACACGCTTGTAGAGCTTGTAATTCATTCCTCTGAGTCGTCGCTTAATAGTCTCCTCTGCAATCTTCAAGGCAGAAGAGGGCATGCGGCGATCGTGATCCTTCATCCGAATGCCGTAGTCTCCCCACACGACTGTTGTTCCGCGGGTCGATCCACCGGTAGCGACATGGGGACGGCCCTTGGGCGATTTGGACTTTTCGGCGAACTTGGGTGTGAGCCAATTGAAGGCAGGCGAGGTGGTTGAGAAGGATCGCGCCAGGGAAAAGGCAGCTAGCGGACTCGACAAGCCTGCATGGAACGGATTAGTTTCGAGTCGTGGTGACCATCTCGGAGGGGAAATATAATTCGTACAGGTTGGCCGAGTGCAGGCCGATAGGGGTCCCGCGAACATCTTCATCTGAGGACCCATTGTGACCGTAGAGGGCTGTTTGATACCGAGCGCGGACGATGTTTCTTTGCGAGGCCAGCGGCACTTTTCGATCGATATACACTAGCCCGATCAAGACTAAAGTGGCACGTGACCGTGTTTCGATCACGTGATTCCCGGCGCGTCCAGTCGCTCCGGCCGCGCGACTGGAGAACCCCGAGCTTCTGCCTTGTCCCCCGATCGCCATCTGCCTCAGATTCGCCCCTCTGAGATTTTGTACGGATAGGTGTGTGCCACTATGCCGCAAGATATCAGAAGCTTTTTTGGCGGCAAGTCGCCAAGCCAAGCCAACGGTGAGGCACCAAAGCCTGCGAAAAAGGAAGTAAGTTCTGGAGCCTGGATGCGATTCAGCTCTACAAAAGAAGCCCTATTACCCTCGGAGGTTCCTCAATTGAAGCAGATTACTGACATTTCTGTCCAAAATGAAGGATCCATCAGCCGCGAGAAAGAAACGTACGCTTCCCTGCTTCATATCCATCACTCATTCACAGATCTAATGATATGACAGGTAGTAGAAAGGTCGTTGATGATAGCGATGACGATGATGCTTCAGCCGTGAAACCCGCCACCCCCACGGCGAAGCCTAAGTCCAAACCGTATGCTTACCCTTTGCTTGATCTCGAGTCGCGCACCTTGGCTAATCATATTCTCGGAACAGTAAGCCGGAAGAGCCCAAGGGAGAAGTCACGACATCGTCAGATTATTTTGCGTCCAGCAAGAAGCGGGGGCAGACAATTAAGAGCTCCAGCACGATCGAAAAAGCCCCCGAGAAGACTGCCAGCCCCGAGAAAGCGAAGAGGGTCGAAAATCCCTCGAAGCCGTCACGGATCTCGAAGAAGGCCACGACTGTTCTTGACGACGATGGCCTTGGCGGAGACGACATTTTTGCTTCCGAATATGCGAAGGCCGGCAAGGGCGACGATGCCTATGTCGCCGAAGGTGATAGCGATGACGATGACGACGACTTCGAAGTGCTCGAGGTCAAGCCAGCCGCAGCCAGAGCTAAGAGAACACAAAACAAGAGACAAATCGAGGACGACGAAGACGACGATTTAGTGA